TGGTTTCATCTTGTTAGTGTATCTAAATCTGCTAGTACATTTAATACCACAAGATTAACAATGTTGTTGTTAAATGGTGCTCCTTCACCCGGAGTGGGGGCATTCTAATACAGGAGTTGTGTTACTGGCCAGATCAGCAGGTAAAACAGAGGGAAAACAGCCTAAAAAAAGAAAATTAATGTAGCCACCACATCTGAGTGATAAGCTGCAATATATTATATTTTTGGTTTGGGTTTAATTACACCCTAAATCCACTTTCCTTTTCACTGATATGGTGGTATTGCTGTAGGACTTTGTTGCAAAAAACAGTGATGAACGGTATGCAGCCTGTCCAAAGCAGAAGATCTGCTTTCTGGGTATTCTTCCCCCAAAAGCATAGGGCCCTGGGTGCAGTAAAATGCTGGGAGGGTACCATAGCAGTTAGACAGCCCTGTGTGCAAAGAGCCCCAAAAGTGTTGCAAATACATTTGTCCCATGCATACACACACACACACACACACACACACACACAAAAAAAGTACAACACATTAAAACACAACTCTATATTAGCCAATGTGTCTATGTACTTTGTGGTGTTTTAAATTCATATTTTAGAGCAGCGTTTCGGGGGAATAGAAAAGTGCCTAAAACCTGCATTTTAAGAGAAGCATATTGGAATAATTTACACCTATAAAATGTGTAATTTCAGCCTAGTGACTGGAGCAAATGAATAATCCAGCCATTTGAATGAAATAATGTGCATAAACCTTAAACACGTGGACATTTGTAAATATGCTGCAGACCAGGCATGAACTCCTGGCAGAAGCTTTTTTGGCAAGGAGGTCCAGATTAAATGGGATTATTTTAATGCGCCAGTGTGCACGTAGCCCACCAATTAACATTTTGCAGGAATGTAATGGATGTATTCACTTTAAATAAATGTTTATATATATATATATATAATCACATTTTTGCATTTTTCTTTTGGAGCCTGTAAAGCATTGCACCAACAATCAGCAGATCGTTGTTGTCATGCAGGTCTCCAGCAAACTGTCCGTTTAATCCGTGTGCTCGTACCTCATACAAGCAAACAGCTTATTGATAGACTGAATGAACTACCAAGGCGCCTCACAGTGCCATGGTAGTTCATTGAGAACTAGAAGCCAGCATCCCCAAAGGGTGCTGGTACATGTAGTTCATTCATTCACAGAACTCTGTGAATGAATGCCACATGTGGGCGGAGCCTGGCACAGCTGCGCTGACTTAAAAAAAACTGACAGTAAATATGGGAGAGGCACCTCTCCCTGTACTGCTGTCACAGGTTGGGAGGGGCAGCAGCTGCAACAATGGGAACTAGTTACATGTTCCATCCTAAAAACGGACATAACATGTTCCCAAAGGTGAATTTAACCTTCATTAAAAATTGGTGCAAGGCTTCAGACTTTGTCCACACTCCAAGGAATGTGTCATGAACTCCTTATTGAATAACCCCCATAGTGGCTACTTTCGAGTCCTGTGAATGTCTTTTTCCCCTAAGCCGGCTATATTCGACTGGTTCAGCAAGGACCGAACAGACCAACTTTAAATATATGAAAATATATAGTGCCGGTCAAATGTGTTTAAACATACAAGGTGCTTATCCCAAAATTGCATAGCCATAAAAAACATAGAGCAGAAAAAGGGACTTTTTAAGCACCAAAACTACAAAAGAATAAAAGATCTTGTATAAAAAAATACACATTTATTGAACATAGTACATCAATGTAAAAAACATAGACACAATACATAAAACATAATTTTGATGTGGATGGCGATGACTAGGCTATATATCACCAAAGAGAAAAACTTTAACGTGTTGCAATTCATTGAATTTATAATTTGAAAGATGTGATGCCATAAACAGCATTCATATGAAGAGTGACTCACATCGCCATTCATAAAAACAGAAATTCAAAGGATCCCTGCTGGTTAAGTCCAGGAATCGTCTATGCAAACAGACCCCTCAGTGGTCCAACTGAGTGAATGAATGATAAAATTGTCTAATGGAAGTCAATAGGGAATTGAAAAAAGTAACACACCCCTCTATCAAGCCCTTAGGTCAACCCAGACATCACTGATGAGCTTCCCATGTATGAGGTATCAAAGTGTGGAACCAACAAAATGTTTCCACAAATGGTCTCTCTATCTTATACCAAGATGGAAACTGCCCAGAGAACCACCACAGCTACAGCTCCAACTTTAAATATATGTATGGGGATAGTGGTTGTACAGAAGTCCTCTGTACAACCAGCCTGTTGAATGAATGCTGCTCGATCAGCGTTGCAGGCTATAGACCGCAGCGCTAATTATTATATTTTGAGGGCATTTTGAATGTTTCCCCACTGTCAGAACACAATAGCTGAACAGGAATGATTCCCTCATTCACCTCAGATGTGTGTATGGGAGAATCGGGTCAGTTTTTTTTTTTTTTTTTTTTTCGTTCAACCCAGCGGTTGAACGAAACCCCCCCCCCCCCCCCCCCGAAATCATCTATGAGCTGTTTTAAAGAAATATATATAATATTAATAAAAATAATAATAATAAAAATATATATATTTATAGTTCAGTACAGTATACACTACCAAAAATACTCCTCCTGTTGGGTTTCTAGGATGCAAGGGTGAATAGATGTTGTTGTTGTTTGTTTGTTTGTTTTTTTTAAATATTTTTTTCTTGTAGTTAGTTCATTCTGTTAGCCTCAGCTGGACTTTTCCCTGCATGCTGTTCATGAACAAGATCCTACTTTGGATACTAGGGAAATTTGTAAGCTAGTCAGCCTTGCAGATTGCGAATTCCATGTCTACTGTCTGTTGCTGCGTAATCTATTCTAGACATTTTTCTCTTTTATTACCATAATTATTAGCTAAAACAAACCAAAGAGCTTTTATTATTTATGTGTGTGTATTTGTATGAAGTGGTTCCGCATGAACTGCTATCTCCCACAAAAAAGACAAACCGAGAAATACAGTATTTGTCCATCATCAGGTAAGTAGCCTGAGAGTTGGACCAGGTGTGGGTCACCTAATGCTAACCGTTATAGACCTACCCTATAGTTATGATCTCCTTGCTTATTCTCCATAGAAAAGAGACCATCCAGGCCATCATTACGGTGCACTTATTGTCGCCCACTGCTAGATCAGAAAGGACCTGAGTGCTGGAGTACTCAAAATCAAGAGCATCACTGGAGTGCTCAAAATCAAGAGCATCACTGACTTTTCTCAGAGCTTTTATGGTCACCCAAACACACCTTTTTAGTTTAGTGCATATTCCTTATTGAGGTTTCCTTTGAAATCAGAAGAAATGCATCAAAACGCATGTCGACATGTGCTGCAATGCATGGCAGCCTGCATTACATTGCATGTTAATATGCATGTTGATGCAATTCCTTTTGATTTGAGTGTAAAAGGCAGAGGTGTGTTTCCAGCCAAATGGTAACTTCACCTCTAGATAGACGAGCCCTTTTTAAAGTGCATTATTAATGATGTCTGTATGTGTGTTGCCATTCAATTGCACCCCAATATTCAATTGTGCCCCCCTCTCATCTCAATGCACATAATAACGGATATATATGTTGCTTTGCGGTGCGCTGAAAAAAGCGGGCAAATTTGTTCACATCTGTCCCCAGTGTGTTGAGGACCCATTATAAATAAATGGGTATCTCACTGAAACGTGTTGATGCAAAGAAAAATGCATGTAATTACACATATATTGTAGGTGTGAATGGCCCTAAGGGCCCATTCTCACCACTCAGGTCTGATGCAGGATGTTAAGGGCATGGACATTAGCATACGTGATGTTTTGTAGCAGCATATTTATTTAGATTTGATGCCAAGTACACCACAACAGGCCAAAAATGGTGCACGCACCATTCTGCAGCACAGCTTAATGCATGGTAGTGCAATAGCACGTTGCAGTGTGCTGCAAGTCTGGTGTATTGGGAAGTTGCTTTGGGTTGTCATTCACAGTGTGTTATTATAGGTTGTTATAGTAAAGCGGTATTAAACCCAAAACCAGAAATGTAATATATTGCAGCTTACCAATCCTTAGATATGGTGGCTGTTTTAGTTTTCTTTGTTAGACTTTTTTTTTCCATCACTGTGGATGAAGGAGCATAGGGCACACAACATCACTGTTAATGTGGGGAGTGGCAAGTGATGAAAAGTACTAGCAGATTTAGATCCACATACAAATTGAAGCTGACCGGTTACAGTAACCGTTTTTTTTTTCTCTTTTGAGATAAAGGTTTTTACATACATAAAGGGCCCTTTCACACCAAATGCAGTGGAATGCAGTTTGCTGCACTTGGCTGCAATTTGGACTGCACTCCGATTGCATAGACAATCCAAAATCGAGGTTATCCCATGGGCATAGTTCACACCATTGCGGGGCAGTGCAGAAAAGAACACCATGCTGCATTTTTCTGCACCGCAAAAATGCATGCAAACACATTTCAAATGCACTGCAACATATCACAGTGCACATAGCAGCCCCAAGAAAGAAGGATGAAGGAAGTGACCTCACAGGACAAATGCAGACAGAAAAACGTGCATCAGCTGCATGTAATGCACGTGTCAACTGCATGTAAAACGCGCATCAAATGCATGCATAGTTAAAAACGCGCAGTTACTTTGTTTCTGGTGTGAATGGGCCCAAAAGCTGATCATTGTAAGATCACTGTCAGGGTTACATAGTTTGTCCTATTCATGTAACTGCTACATTTGCAAGACAGGATGTTTTGTTGAAAAACAGACTTACTGGTAGGATCACCAAGGAAAAATAAAAGCCTAAAAAAGAAAATGAATGAAGCCACCGCATGTAAGGTTTTGTAAACTGCAGTATATAATAAATGTTTTTGGGTTTAATACTGCTTTAAGTAAAATAGAACTATAGGCAAATGTTTTTTTGTTTTTTTTTTTCAGTTTGGATAGAGCACGGGAGGATTATAACCCGTCAGATTTTTTATTTTTTTTTTCCGCCATCTGTGTCCCATTGTGGAAATTTTCCTTCAATTTCGGTCCCATAGTCAAATAGGAAGTGAGAGGAAATCCCTGCAAATTAAGGGAATCCCTTGGACCAGTGTCTCCTTTGGAAGATTTCCCCTCTATTACTTTTCTGGGGACAACCCCAAATTTGGGATTTTCTTTAACTTTTAATGATAATGGTAAACAGGACAAAGTGAGAAGGCGACTCTCCTTAATGGGGAATCGGACAACAATAAAAAACCTAATAGGTGATCTAATCCATCTCTATCCAATACTATTAAAAATATAATCTGGCTAGCTAATCAACATGGTAACTTGTGCAATCGTGTTGTGTGACATTAACCGCGTAAGGACTGCCCTATAGCAGATATACTGCTACAGAGTGGCACCTGTGTGCAAAGTCACGTGTATATATATGTGCTTTTGCATTTCCGGCTGGGGGGGGGGGGTGTGAGCCATGCACGAGTCCTACCCGCGCCATCATTCGCAACCGTAGATGTCAATCACTGGGTCCCTGCTGGTAATTACCTGCCAGCGCCCAGTGATTACCGAGCATCTCCGATGGGGAGAAAGATTTTGTTTACAAACAATCTTCCTTCCTGTCAGCTCAAGCACACTGCTCGGGATGGCTGTGCACAGTACAGCCATCCTGATCAGTGTGCTTACAGTAAAGAACATCCCTCCCACCCCTAGTAAAACACTCTCAGCACACAGTTAACCCTTTTGATCGCCCCTCACATTAACCCCTTCCCTAACCCCTTTTTTTTAGCACTGATCACTGTATTGGTGTCAGTGACACCAAGTTAGTTCCCCCCCTAGTGTCAGAATGTCCGCCGCAGTCCCACTAAAAGTCGCTGATCGCTGCCATTACTAGTAAAAAAAAAAAAAAATCCTATTATCTATACCACCATTTGTAAACACTATAACTTACATGTAAACCAATTAATTTACACATATTGGGATTTTTTTATAGCAAAGACATGTCACGGAATACATTTCGGCCTAAATTTATGACGAAATTAGATTTTTTTTTTTTTTTTTTTACATTTTTAATATTTGGACATGTTTAATAGCAGAAAGTCCAAAATATTTATTTTTTTTCTCCAAATTGTCGGTCTTTTTTTTGCTTATAGCGCAAGAAATAAAAAACACACAGGCGATCAAATAAGCTCAATTTGTGGGGAAAAAAGGACGTACATTTTATTTGGGTGCAGCATTGCATGAGTGCGCAATTGTCAAAGTAACGCAGCGCCGTTACGCAAAAAATGGCCTGGTCATGAAGGGGGGTAAATCCTCAGGCGGCCAAGTGGTAAACCAATACATTGGTGCCTGCTTGGTAAGATTCAAAGAGCTAGAAATGTGCAGTAACCCACGGCAGCCAATCAAGTTTCAGCTTAAATTAGTTCTGTGCAGCTAGGGCAAAGGAACAATCCTGGCAAGTTCCTTTAGGTTCCTATGTTTTGCACAACACTCTCCTGTATTATAATGTACTTAAACATTTTGCTTGTTGTGCATACATATTATTATTTTTGTTTTGAAGTGAAAAATGCAATTTGGCATGCCACAGATGATTCAATTTTCTTTCCTGCACCCGCGAAAATCACAGTCAGTGTTGATGGGGAGCTGTTGTGTTCTGCAGGCAGGGAGCCTTCCCATTCGGCAGAGCACAATGATTGCTGCTGCTGCCATAGCCACTGGAAGTAATTGCATATAAAAAAATCTGACCAGCTGGCTGTACCCAAGTTGAATGATGGATCAATTTGGATACAACCAGCCTGCTCATAGATGTATCGAATCTTGGCTAGTCTCTGCCGAACTGGCCGAGGTTCAGCCTGTCTATGCCTGACTTTTGCAGCATTTAGGCTACATGTACATGGGGATTATTAGGATAATTCCATATATGCTGGATCTACCTTCCTGAAACTGCCAAAAAAATCAACTGTAAAAAAAAAAAATGCTTGGCCTGGTGCACGGTAAATGTATTTATGCGCAAATCATGCCAGTAGGCCTTTCTCTGAACGCAGGTTAGGGGGCATTTTTTATGTCCCTAAATGCTGCCCTAAAATACAAATCTAAATGTCCCGATGCGCATAGACACATTGGTTTATATAGAGTTGCATTCCGAGGCAGCAAAAAATGCTTCTAAAAGGGGTTTTTTTTTTTTTTCCTGGGTGCATGAGGCCTTACTTTTTATTATCACTATGTATGCTACAGTTTCCTTAGTGTTCAGATTTCATCATTTTATTTGAGGCACATTAAATCACTGTAGTTGTAAAACATGCTCATTATCCTTCTAGAGTGGAATGTTTTAAACATAAGGTCAAATTAAAATCGTATGTGTTTTTTAAAAGCACGTGCCTGTTCACATGTGTTTTTTAACCACGTTTTGACAAATTTTACATGTGTTTTGGCAAGTGTTGTATTTATGCATATGATTGTTTTTTTTTTTTTTTTTTAACCTTTTTTATTTAGGGATAAGCATAGGAAATCACAAACACTGTACAGTTAAAAGTAAACATTACATTTCAGCAGTGGCAGGGAATGTGTGTTTGGTATTGAAATATAATTCTCATAAATATACAATGTATTGCTGAGAAGCATATCTCATATTTTTTACTGAAAACAATGACATCCTTCTTTTGTTAAAATCTCCAGAGATAGAACATTAGAGAGATGAATACAATAGAGCAAACTGTGGATTTGATAAGTGTTAGACATTTTACTTGCACTTGTGTTGGTGGTTGGGGAGTCTTCTATTTACTTTTCTGATTGTACAAATTGTATTAAAGCAGTTCTTCGCCCTTTTTAAAAAAAAAAGAAAAAATTAAGTCAGCAGCTACAAATACTGTAGCTGCTGATTTTTAATAAAAGGACACTCGCCTGTCCCAGGGTCCAGCTCCGTGCTCACCCAAACCGCTTCTTTGCCAGTCTTTGGGCACATTTGCTGTGGGCAGCCAGCTGTTTCCTTGCGGCATCACAGCTGGCTGCCCACTGCACATACTCAAGCTGCACTGTGCCTTGGTGAATGGGATCGGTGACGTGTCCCAAAAGGTTGCAGGCGAGCAGGAGGAGGACTTTTGGTGGATCGCCGTAGCAATCCAACCAGAAGTGGTAGCAGGTACCAATCAAAATCAGGTACCCACCCCCACCAAAAAAGCAAAAAATAGAAAAAGGGGGGGGGGGGGGAAATAAAATGCATCTTCCCCTTTAGGTTGAAGTTCTGCTTTAAGCGCCATTACACCCCTAATCCCATGGAAGAATAGGGACTTACTGACTTTTTAAAATTTTTTTGCAAGCTTGATTTAAATAATATTGTACTATTAGGTCCGTTTCACAAAGATGCGATCTGGGTCGATCACAGGGGAGGACTGACAACTCATGGGGCCCCCGGGCAATAGGGGATCATGGGGCCCCTGTGTATTTGCCAAAACTCAAAAAAGCCTATCAAAAAGGTACCAGGGGCATCTCATGGGGCCCCCTACTGACCCCGGGCCCTCGGGCAGTGCCCGAGTTTACAAATGGTCAGTCTGCCCCTGGTTGATCACGATCTGCTGAATGAGGTGGATGTTGCATTTGTAATCGTTCCCATTTTTTTTTTTTTTTTCCTGCTTTTACAAACCAGAGCTTTTTGAGCCCATGCTAGATTTACGGACATTAAGATGATAGCTTTCTTGGAACCATTTACATCAGACTGTCTTTGATGCATTACGCTTCGGCAGGGCAGAATGCACAATTCTCAACAATATAGTTGGATCTCAACAATATAGTTGGGATCTTTTCTAAGCCTGGACCAGCTCTGTGATGTCAACCGACAGTGCGCTTTTACCCACCGTTGGCTGAAAACGGGTCACAGGAGTGCAGAATTAACTGCACTCCTGCGATCCACAGGGCAAGTATAGCTAAAAAATGTTTTGGCGCATAGTGTTTTGGAGGAATTTGCCAAGACCTTGTCTCCCTAAGGTTGGGAATCACTGCTGTAGATGAGATGTATATTTTGATACCTTGTTGTTTGCTCTAGATACAATTTATAAACCATAATTTTGTTTATTTTTTTATTGAGCCTGAGTAATGTGTCTGTCTGGGGCACAAAAAAGGTTTGTTTATATGCAAAAATATTAAAATGAACTGCAAAGGGAAAGGTATAAAGCTGAATGCAGTTATGCCTGTCAAAAAGATTTCAGAAGCTCCTTGGTTTAAAGTGATTTTGTTTTTCTAGTTTTTTTTCTGATACTGAGATTTCTTTTTTTCTTTTAGAGACAAACTCACTGTTATAACTGGACACCTAAAATATTAATCTTATAAGATTAAAGCGGAGCTCCACACAAAAGGGGAGGTTCCACTTTAAGCATTTGTCCTCCGCTCTCCATTAAGGATTGGAACCTTTGGGGAGTGGGTACTAGAATTTGACAGGTACACGCTCCCACTGCTGTTGCGGTCACCTAGGCAATCGGAAGTGGAAGTTATGCCTTCTGAAAAATTTTTCTGTAATCTGGAGAGTGCACCATCAACATGCAGATGTCCCAGGTGGACAGGAACAGATTAGAGAATTATGGCAAAATCTCCTTATTAAATATGTAGGACATATAGGATTGCAAAGGGATGACCAGTTCAGAAGACTCTGCCTGTAGTTAAAAGTCACTTTTTTATTTACTTACCCAACAATAAATATACAGGAAAGTTTCCCTACCTGGGATTACATTTTACATCAGCCTATGACTTGCTCTACCAGGTGAATTACCCAAAACTGTGGCTTAAATGTATGGCTTAAATGAAGATGATATCCGGCTACTTTTTTTTTTTCTCTACATGACTCTGGTTTACTTCGTTTCAAAATGCTCAAAGATAAATTTGTTAGCTTTACACCAAAACGGTTTTGCAGTACCTAGAGATCAAATATTTTTTGCAAACACGACGGATCCTTCAGACCTGTATGATGGGACTGCTTGAAAGTAGACGTGCGCTTCGTTTTGTTAAGAATTGGAATTCGCATAGAAATTTTCTTTGGAGATTTGGACATATCCTGAATTTCCAAATCACAATGGTGAGGAATTTCAAGAAATCCAAACATGAACTATAATGAAACAAAGTAATGTAATGAAATAACATATTATCCAAATTCGGATTTGAAAATAAATTTGAATTTGAAAATGAATTTGCATTAAATTAAAACCTGTTGCAATAAATACAGTCAGGTATTAAAGTGAAATAAGATGATGATTTTTACGTGGGCTGCTTTCACACTGTTCCGTTGCAAAAATGCTTATGCATTTTGCCATGTTTTTTTCTGCAGTGCATTGCATTTTTATGCGTTTTTGCCGTGTTACTGTTAATTTCAACGGAGAGGTGCATTTTTTTAATGCATTTTGTATACAGTAGGACTTTTAATGGCACCTTCACACAGATCAGTTTTCAGTTTAACAAGTAGAAGAAAAATGCATGAAAAATGCATCGCTTTAAATCATATGGAACTCTTCACACTGATCTTTTGCGCTTTTTTAAAAGTCCTGCTTGCTGCATGTTTGGTGCGGTAAAAAAAATGCACATCTTCATTGAAATTGATGGAAAATGCAGCACAAATGCAATGCACCTGTTGAAAGTGCATAAAACATAGCAGCATGATAAGGACAACACTGCTCACAAAGAGTGGTTATTAGAAAATCCAAGCGGAGTAATACATTTTGAATATTTATTTTATTTGATCACATGGATCATATTGAGGTTAGACAGATACATGGTAAACAAATCTTAATAAAATCACTGAATTAAAAACATTCGGCGTCTCCAGAAATAATATCCGGCAATCAGGAATCCACATAATAGAAATTAATATAACCTGTTGGAAGTGCTTTGTCCAGGGGAAAAAACAAAATGCAAGCACGTCAACAATGCATATATCTGCCTAAAAATGCAGCTGAAATGTAAAGAACCAGCATGAAGAGTTCCATAGGATTTAAGGGGATGCATATTTCTTGCCCCTTTTTTTTTTTTTTTTTTTTTTTTTTTAACTGAAAAACTAATCAAAAACTGATCAGTGTGAAAGGGCAATTATTGTCTTAGGGTTGGATAAAGGTGAATCAATCAATCAGAATCTCCGAATCATAACATAACGGATACATCCGTAATTAATTTCATTTTCTTTGTTAGGATTCAGAGATTCTGATGAATCCACCTCCATCCAACCCAAACAGACTGCATAAGTATTATCTGATGAAATAACAAATCAACACAGGACAAATGTAACCGTCTTCTGAAATTCTAATCTAATTTGAAATGAATCTGAATATATAAAAGTACTCCGAATATACAAAACGAATTCCAAAAATGAATCATTCTAACAAAACAAATATGATGAAACAAAATTATTAACTTAACATATGAGTCTGAAATGAATTTTTCTGTAATGCACATCTTTTCCCAAAAGTGCACAGATTCTGGATCACAGTTTACGAAATGCTGTACAAGTGAAAAACATGATCGACAACCTGAGGAATGCACTAATATTCAATTTAGGCTAGTTATGCACATCCTCACGGTAGCAGAGAGTCCTAGCACATGCCTAGAAAGATCCCCCAACCATTCTTTAGGCTTGGTTCACATATATAAATTTTGCATTTGATGCTTTCTGTAGTGCTTTTTGCAGTTTTATTTGCGTTTTTTTTTTTTTTTTTTTTTTTTTTCTTTATGCTTTTTTGACAAATTTTTACAGCGTTTCGTGTTTTTGTTTAAGCTTTTTTTATAGTAAAGTGGAATTGTTTTTGTTGCTGGGCAGAATAAAAATGCAAAACGCTGCAAATATGCAATACCGTGCATTTCAGCAGCTCCTCCATTGAACTCTATTGCAGCAAAAATGCTGCTCTTTCGTTTTTTTAAAGTCCCTGACCCTTTCCAAAAACCTTAGCCTCCCTTTTCTTTTTTGCCCCCCCCCCTTATTTTTTTTTTTTTTTGTGTTTTTTTGTTTCTTTTTCTTTACTAGGTTGGGAGTGGTTCCATACACCATTGGAGGTGTGGTCCTTCAAATCCTTGCTATTGGTCTCGGTTCTGCACACACCCTTTTTTGTTTTTCTCTTGTGGCCTCCCAGAACATGAAGCACACCTCTCACCTGTGCATTTATTTTTTTTTCTTGCATTACATCCTATCTTAATAACCTGGTTTATTCTTGTTTGGATTACATAATGTTTTGTTATGTCATTTTCTAATGTTATATTTGGCTTATGTAAGCCTGTTTCTTTCTTTTGTTCAATTTGTTGAACTTCATCTTGAAAATTTAATAAAAATGTATGGAATGAAAACTACTGGAAAATCACATCTTAGTTTGCACCACTTCACTTGGTGTGTTCGCAGCGGAATGGTCATTGACATTTCTTGTGAAACAGGGAACAGTTTGTCTGGTTGGTAATTATGCATAGGCATGCACATCAGCATCATCATTCCGCACATCCATCACAAACCAACTTGTCTGATCAAGCATTCTTGCCGTACTGGAGGTCAATTCCTTCGTTGTACATCGTTTCCTACAAACAACCTTTCCACAGGCACTAATTCCTTTCTATACAAAGAATTATCTCAGTTTCCAAATTACTCATGAGATAGAGCCAAAAATACCTGAATGATGCTTCAATGTAGAGGAAATGGGCAGACCTATTGTAGGTGATCTTCGGATTGATGTTTTGATGATTCCCTTATTAAAAATGTTCTTTCTTTCTTAAATTAACAAATTATTTGACTCAAGATTGCATGTTAAGAGCTCAGCCTTACACTTGTTAGTAGGCTTTACATTTTCCAATGTAATAATCGGCTGCTTGTTTCTTCTTTGATCTGAAAGTGGCCATTGGACGTGATGGTTGCCACCATTTGAGGCGTATCAGGTGACTTTAATTTGTGTTGTAACTTGGCTTATGAGGATAATAATCACATTGCTTTCACACATTCAGCATGGTGCCGTCTTGTTTGGTTCGTTAGTTCTAAGATGAATGCATTGTGTTTTAATAGAGGTCATCTTTATGCCAAGGTTTGATCCATATGCTCCAGTTTCTGATGATACATTACCAGGAGATATGAACTATTTCAATCCACAGGACAAGATTTCTTGCTGTAGGCCATGCTCACTCAGTCAGCCAATGAATAGCTGACATTTCATATGGAATTGAAATTATGACTTTGCCATTGTGACAACTGGCTACATTAAAAAAGTGAATCGCTCATGAAGCGGAGCCCCTGGAGACTCTTGTCAAATCTCCTCTGTCTTCTCAGGTCAAATGGAAAAGGGCAGTGTCATTGCTAGCAGTATCACTTCTACTATACACAGGACCATGTCATTTTGGGTTCCTATCATTTCCTAAATGGGGTCTCTGGAGACATCCTGGACTGTGTGTTCCACACCTTCCACAGCAAAGCCTAGGGCAAGAGAGACAACCCACTGGAGGGCAATGTTTTTTTTTTTTTTGTCATTAGAAGCAGCTTCTCTAATGACATGGGTTCATCCACTTGGTCTAGAGTTTTGGCTTCTGCCTTTTTATTCAGTTTTTGGCAAGAGTGAAGTCCAGTGGAAATTACAAATATAGCTATTTAACTACAGATATTTTGCCAACAACCTTAACATTTTTTAATTGCATCTTCCATTTATAGCAGTTGTCTGAATGTGACTGCGCAGTCCAATAGACACAAGAGTTTAACTACTTTGCCCAGTTAATGCCATAATCTAACAGACCTGGTCAGACATGTTCTCTCTACAAATGTACGTGTGGACAGTTGTGGTGGGTGTCTGGCTGCTGCTCTACTTTTACCAGGATATCCAAGTGAAAGAGCAGGAATAGCATTTCCACTAAGAGAAAGTAGTACTTTAAAGTGGTATTAAACAATTTTCCTTTTAAGTTAAAGGTTTTTGCATAAATAAAAGCTGATTATTGTAAGCACACCGGTCAGTGTTAAATGGTTTGTCTCAACCCTCTTGCTGCATCTGCAGGACAGCTTGCACTGTTGAAAAACAGTCTTTTTAAGGCTCTCTTTTATTTTCACCTTGTGATCTATCCAAAAAGTCTAATACAGCTTTCACATCTCAGAACTGGAAAGCTGCAATATAAAAAAATGTTTACTTTTGTGTCTAATACCACTTTAAGGCTTCATTCTCAGGGACATTTGGAGGTGCAGGATCTGCCTTAAAAATCTTGTTTTCCTTTGCACTGATGCTTTTTTTACATTAGTGTTTACCCAAATGTGCATATATGACATATGTCCCAAATATGAAACTTCCACTTCGGGGAATGTGGTATGCGTGGGTAGACCATGATACAAGAAAGCATCAGCCTTTACTTAAGACTGAATACTAGCACACACACTCACTTCACTTCTATGGGAGGCTGTACACTGCTCAGTCACAGGAAAATACCAGGAAATGTATGTGTTAGACCTTGTTTGTGCCTCCAAATGTCTGTATGAATGAGGCCCAAGGCTGCATTTAAACTTGATCTGAGGGTCTTTGGTCATTTTGCAAGCAATTTTGTAAATGTTTGTATAGGCATTTTTGCAGATGTCTGAGGCTTAAAGTCCAGGAACATTTAAAATGATTCTTTTCAGTGGAGCTGTGCTTGCACTGCAAAAGCTAATAACTTTTCGTCTAGGGGAAACCGTTTTACTTACGCGATCCTCTGCTTTCCCCACACTCTGGTGGTGGACTGTCCCCTGGTGTCATCATGTCCAAGGCAGGGCTATGGATCCTGCTTTGGTCTTGATGGTTTTGGAAAAGCTGCAGGGACTGGTCTAGCTGCGGGGAGGATTGGGGAAGATATTAGGAATTATTTTTAATTCTTTTATTTTGTTCTATTAGACCAAAATGAGCAACTAACCCTAGCAGTGCAGGCACAGCCCCATTACAAGGGTTCATTTTTGTAATTCCCTAGCATTGAGCTTTAAACTCTGGGCAAAAAATATTTCCCTTGCAGTGGGAATGTGCATTCGTTTTTATCTAGGGAACTGGAGAAGGGACATATACTCCTCCAAACGTTCCTGCACAAGATTGGTCCCTTTACCCCCCCCCCATTGTGTGGTAAAGTGATCTTGTGATGTGGACTGTTTCTGACCGCATCAAGCCCATAAATCTGCTCTGGACTTGAGGACTTCAGGAGCATTCCGCCACTGAATTGGTTGGAGCGCTCTTTGCCGCTGCCTCTGAGGATTGGTGAGTATAAGCTTTCTGGTCACCCCTGGAGAAAACAAGCAGTTAACCTATCCAGTGCAGGCACAGCCCCACTACATGGGAAAAGTTTTTCTTGCCCAGAGTTGGGCTTTACGCATTTTTTTTATTGTTTTTAGCCGATTGAAAGCTAGTTACTAATTGAACAAAATGCTCAATAAGTCAGATTGCACGTTTTTTTTTTTTTTTCAGGTGCTCCCATTGAAATCTATAACGCCAAAAAAGGCTTAAAGCCTGTAATTTAAGAGAAGCTTGTGTACTTTTCAAGCGACAAGCTTCAAGCAGCGCTATGCTTGGGTGTGAACAGCACAATTGAAGGCCATAGGAGATTTGATGTTGAGCGCTTTGGAGGTAAGCGCTACAAAACGCTTAGGTGTGAAGGGGCTCAAAGGAAACTGAAAATCAGTAGAAAATCATAATTTGCAGTGGTGCAGGACTTTACAAAGAATACAATACAATGTTTAAGATTGTAATTGGGCTATGGTCTTTACTAAGCAAAATGTAGGAGTCT